CCGGCCATAGTACGCCGTACGCTCACCGTACTAATACCGTGGAGGTATTTTCCTATCTGGGTTGGCATATATATGTAAAATTCGTATTATTACCTACCGATAGAAAAGAGAACTGCAGGAAATACATATTTATTAACTTCTATCATACCCATCATAGATCCGGACTTATCGACAGTTGATAATGATACAATCTGTATATAAATCAGCAAGACAATTTTAAAATTATAAAATAATACATTAATAAATTTCTATTAAAATTTACTTTCTTTTTCTTGAAAAGAAACCAATGAATAAGCAATGATTAGAACGTGCAATTTACGTTTTCATTACATTCAGATTCAAAATTGTCTTTCTCTCTTTCTCTCTTTCTCTCTCTCCCTCTCTCCCTCTCTCTCTCTGTCTTTCATTGCGATTGCATCCCAAAATCACGAGCGATGCGAGTTATATGTTTTGAGTGCTGTTCGTCGCAATTTCAAGCGGATTTCTTGAAAATTATGCGATCCTCGTTACACTGGAGATAAACTGCAATCAATTCTGAGACGTTATCTCGAGTGTCAAGCGCAAGGCAGGATAGGAACAGAAAGGAGCAACGATTCTTTCTTAACGAGTGCGTCTGTGAAGTTATAACCCTCACTGGCTTTTTTCTCTTGCATAGACGGCATCTTTTTGCTCATGATTTTTGATGATTTAGTGCTAGCAATCGTATTATTAGTTTAAAATTTATTTGTCTTGTCGGAAAAATGTTAATATATGTTTCATTAGTTAACCCTGCTGGACTGTCTTGATGTCTACTTGACCCAAAATCTATTTTCTTATTAATATTTTATCTAAAAACTTTTTTCTCCGGTGTTTGATGACTTTGTGTTTTAGTCTAAGATTTTTTTTTCTGTAAAAATTTTTATTTTTTGGAACTGATTAATCATATTGACCCAAACAATATAATTGTATAGTAAATTTATATATAGACAGACCACTTTAAAAGTACAATTTACCGGCACAATATTGGCCAAATATATTCCCAACAATTGACCAATGTATTCAATAAATTGCTTCTAGAGCAGCAAGATTAAGCTATTGAATTAATGTATCACTTGAATCAAGACTAAATATTTTGATATTTCACTAATTTAATTGATATTTTATTTAATTTTTTAAATTAAGTTTGTAGACTATCTTCTTAATTAGGCTAGTTTTCATAGAAAATGGAGGGTGAACGCTTAATTGGCAAGGACACAAAGACAGACGAGAATACTGAGGCTAAACCTAAGGAAACTCTAGGCTTAACCACCACAGTAGCTCTGGATACTCTGCATCGTGATGTTAGACGTGTCCTACAGGAGTATGAAGTAGAGCACAGGAAAAATAAGTAATATATTGTACAATAATTGTGATTATTTAGAACAAATATGTGAATTTTTATGACGTTATATCATGACTATTGTTTGTATTCAGGAAGTATAGAGCTTGGCTGAAGGACACCCTGCATCATCGTAGCCAATATACAACGCTCTGCTGGACTTCTGCGATCGCGCTGTTGATCAATGCCATTATTCTCATCGTTGCGTTCTTTACGCTTAATGAAACATGGTAAGTTAGATGGGAATGTACATTTATGTGAAATTTTGCTTGTTTTTTACTTATTCTATTTATTTTTGGGACAATAATAGCTTCATAAATAAGTATTGTTACAGGTATTCAACACTGCCATACGAAGGACTGATAGTCTGTTGTTTAGTAGTATTGAATTTTATCTTAGTGGTATCGGATAATAAATTACGACATGAAGAAATTCCTCATAGAGTGAAAATTCTTCTTGATCAGCTCAATGGTATGTATTTAAATAAGGATTGCCGTCTCTGTAATATTTATTTTGTTTCAAAATTGAAATTACAAATATAGAAAGCCTAAAGCATACGATGCAAGTTTTTGTGTTGATTAGTTGCTTGTGATTAGTAAATTTTTATAATCGCACTACATAGAACATAGAATTTATAGTAATTTACTAAATCACAATTCAGCAGGAAAAAACGGTGCTTAACATGAATTGCAGTTTCTATGTGAATCTTATACAATTATTTTCGACCAATATTTGTCTATGTATAAGTATGTCATTTGAAACTGCTGTTACTTTAATTTTGCTTTCTTAACATATTTTATTTGTTATTTGCATATTTCAATAAAATTATTATTATTAAATCTTGCAATGGTAATGTTATACAAGTGTTTCAAAATTGCAGTTGCGCGTTCCACATGTCAATGGAGGTCCGAGAACTATCCACATTTGTGCAGTCCGCAATCCCCTTGCTTGACCTTGCAGTGGACGTATCGTGATGGTGAAGTAGTCAACTTGCCGTGGGCCTTATTAGTGGCCGGTGACATAATCGTAATGAAGCCAGGTCAGCAAGCACCTGGATATTGTGTGCCATACGACGTACGTGACTTTAATTCTTTCCAACATAGATCTCACAGATGTTTAGTCTTCAAAATATCGAAAATAAACAAAAATTTTGCTAAAACAATTAGACTATTTAGAATTATACTTCTTGTAGCTAATCGAACTTTAACGCAGATTTTTAGATGTTCATGTTTCAAGACATCAAAGTTGTACAGAGATTTTATTGAAATAGTTAATTAAACTGTTCAGAAGCAAATTTCTTGTAGCTGATTGAACTTTCAGGATTCAGAAGCGTCTGTTTTGCACGCAAGAGAAACTTACAGTACGCCAGTACATAGCGCGAACGAAATCTTCTCCACGCCGCAGTCCCGCATACCTCTGAAGAGTAAGATCTACAAACTTCAGGAAACGCCGTACTTGGTGAATCTGCGAATGGCGCTCGATCAAGCTCTCGATCGACCAGTAACTTATTACAATCGCAAGCGTCACTTGCTAATGATCTGTTGCATTGAGCACTTGACCTATCCGATACTCGTGATTGTTATCCTCGTGATCAATCTGCTTCGTTACCTATATCTGACAGACTACTTTGGCACTGGCCACTGGAGCGAGATGTTTCTGTTGCAACCGATTGCTGTGAGTCTTCCGTTGTTACCGTTGGTGTTTCCCGCCTGTTGGATATTCCTCAATTGCTTCGGCATGGCACGCTTCAAAGCGCTGTTCAAACTTTACCTGTCCGCAAAGAAGCTCCAGGTCAGTATTGATTTAGAAATTAATTATTTATAAATTAAAACATTAACATAATTATAGTTCTATATGAAGAAATTAGTGTTTTATGTATTTGTAGAATTGTAATCATAATTTTATACATTTATTCACGTGCATACAGAATTACATTATTTTATCCTAAATCTAATGACATAAGAATTCTATGTGAAATCTCACACGATGAAAGTTCTAATCTGGACAGAAAAATTGGTAAACAAGATTATGAAGATTTTATTGTAGAAAATTTAAATGTGTCTATGAATATTTAATTTAAATTTGTCTCTTTTTATGTCTTTTCTTATGACTAAGAATAAATTATTAGTCGGTATTCATAGTTTTTATAGTTAAGATTATCTTAAGTATAATTTCAAAATGTCGTGAACCAATTAGAGAACATCTTAAGACATTGCTTGAGATAGTCTTGAGATTAAGAATAGACTATGAATATTATTTGTTAAGAGTACCTGCGAATTGATATACTATATTCAAAATTATGATGAATTTATAATTATATATTATTCATGGAAGCAAAAATTTTTTCTTAATTTTTAAAATTTGATTTAAAAAATGATAAGGATTTAGGTATGTATGTAACATACTATACATTCATAGAGATTTTTATAATTTTTATGAATTAAAAATTATTATTAATTACAAAATGTTACACTGATTTATAATTTTTGTAAATATAGTTTGTAGATCCTTTTGAAGACGCAGAAATCAATGGTCCCAATCATCCGGACGTAGTGTACAACTGGCTGGAACTCAAAGAAAATTTCTTCGATATTCTTTTCGGCAACGAGCACATGATGTCGCGATCGGCGAGCATTCTGCACGTTCTAGGCTCTGTAACCGTAAGTACCATAGCACAAATTGACTATAAACTGAGTAATCAAGTAATAATGATTATCAATATATTTTTGTAGGCGCTGTGCTGCGTAGATAAGAAGGGAATTCTCTCATGGCCTAATCCCACGGCGGAGAAAGTATTTTTCCTACGTAACGCCAATATTTTGTCGCCGAGCTCGAGGTAGTCATCTTATAGTCGCGGACCCAGTTGGGGATATAAGAATCCGAGTATCTAAAAATCCAAGAATTTGTGAATTTGCCCCCTGAGATGAAAAAAGGAATTTAACGTAACTTAAATTTGTGAAATCATTCGGTGGAATCGTATCGACGCGATTACAGTCCCGTTTATTTTACAGTACCGGCAGCGTGGACAAGACGACTGACAAGAACCAGGAGTCCGAGGAGACCAAGGTGAACTCCAACAGAATGTCCTACGTACAGCATGGTAAGGAAAGATGGGAGACAACGAAAGCCGAGTGCGCAACGTAACGTCCGATGCTTCGCAGATATGTCGCACTCCACCGCTGAGGTCCTGGATCTCACCCACGATCATGCCCTGCCGTTCCGACTGCAGTTCGACGACCACTCGTGGCGGCAACATCTGAACTCGCTGAAACCGCTCGGCTTGGCGATCCTCCTCAACACGTGCAACATGGACACGCAGGAACACTACACGCAATTCTGTTGCCACGTCACTTGCGAAGCTCTGTACAATGAGAACTTGGTCCCGGTGACGAACAGACGGTATGTTGTCCTTACTCTTTTTTTTTTCTTATAGGATTTACGATTTCTTAGGAGTTGCGATTTCTCTGCAAAATCTATTATTGAAAATGAAATGTATTCAACAGATGTCTGTGCGAACTAGCGAAGCAGATCGGTTTCCAGGATCAAGCACAGAAAATTTTTCAACTGGAACAGCAACTATGTACATTTAGACATGTAGTGAGTATTGATAATTTACATGTAAAAATTTAGGAAAATGCTTTTTCTTAAATCAATTAATCTTTTATCTGCAATCTGGTTTTTTTTGGAACAGACGAAATTTCACTGTCAAATTTCCTCTTCATTTTTACTCAAATTTCAATTTAAAGATTTTAACATTTGAATTAAAAAACTATTTGGCGATGTAACAGAGATATTGAGAATAATCTTGAATTTTTTTCCATAATTTTTTAAAAGCTTGGAACAGCAAAAAGATTAGACTGGACAAAAATGACAGATTTGTAAACGGAGAAAGTAAAAATATTTACAATTGGGAGAGTTGATTCATAATAAGATCACTTTTTGCTAAAATTCTGGAAATTGATTGCACGTTTTAGCAACCACTTAAAATGTTGAATTGAAGTTTGAATAATTCCCTATAAATCAGTTTTTATCAAACCGTTTCTTAGAAGAGTAATCATTCTAAAAAGATATTATTTGAAGAGGAATAATTTATATTACAAACGCGAACACACAATCGATTAGAAAAGCAAACTAAAACGATTTGTTTGACAGCAACCAGAGATGGTCAGGCGGGACATAAAGTTCGCGCGTTCACTGAGCATCGCTACAAAGCTGAAATTCCCGTTTCCTCACATGGTCGCCGTAGTCGTGAAAGAGCGCAGCGGTGGTGGTCTACAATTGTTGACGCAAGGAACGGCCGACATAATTCTGGACTCGTGCATCGAGTACTGGGATGGCCACGATCTCTGTCCTCTTTCTGCATCAGACAGGTATATCGTTCGGTTTCGATTCCATTAATCTCTTAAATGGAAACTGATTGTGTATTTTAAAGAAGTAAGAGAAAATTGCAAAAATTCACTAGATATTGATCAATGAATTTAAATCATAAAAGTTACAAATATTAATTATAAAAATTAATGTGCTCATTTTCATAATTTTCACCTCGTTTTAAGGCACAATCTATTTTCTGGATTTTATTATACAAAAATTTTTAAAACGTTTGATGCGTAAAGATCAATTGTTATGTATTAATCTTGATGATTTCTCCTTTTGCAGGAAAAAAGTGCAAGACTTCTACCAGAGGACAAGCTTAACCTCGTATTGCACCGCATTCGCTTATCGACCGCTGACGCGCGCCATCAGCGACAACATGTCCGAGATATATCTGGAGCTACCGGCGGATAGCAAACACTTGTACACACCTCACAGGAGTCCGACTCCTTTACCATGGGACTTCAGAAACGTTCTCGATCCCAGAGTACGAGGAATACTGGGACAGTTTCATTCGACAGGTTAACGTAGTCACTAATTTGATGGATGTTTTATTGTAACTTTAATTTTTTTAAATATTATCTCAATAGCAGAACGAGCCAAATATATATATTAACTTCCTGCTTTCTCATTTTTCATTTGGATTTCTTGATGTTATAATTTTGTTTAATATCTTTCACTCATTTTTAATCTAGATATATTTTATATTATTTTGATTAATTTGTTTTTAATTCGCAAATAATATTTATTGTAATAAAAACATGGCTTTCTTTTCAGATTCCTTACTGTGTAACGAAAATAAGGATGACGACGTGAACGATATTGAAAGCTGCTTTGAGGTGCAGTGCAATCAGGTCTTCATTGGAATGGTTACCATGCAATATCAGGCACAAACTGATATGGTGCGATATTATTATGGTCAATGCCGTCAATGGTTAATAATTTGTACTGTGAACACAATAAATTAATATATATATTATGACTACAGGTACAATTGATTGAGCAATTGGATAGAGCATGCATAAGGTTTGTGCACTTCAGCAAGGAGAACGAACTGCGCTCGCGTGTTTTCTCAGAGAAAATGGGCTTGGAGAGCGGCTGGAATTGTCACATCTCGTTACTCAGCGAGGGAGCCAGGTATCGTTTATCATCAAGGCATGATGACACGCCGTTTTTCTCTCAATGTCTCTTGAATTTCTTATGGGGCATATCCGCGACTTACCGTCAGTGTCTCTGCTCCAACTCTCTAAAACTTTTACAAGTAATTCTCACTTTGAAGAGTAAAGTTTCATTCTTAAAGATTGGAAATTGAACCGCTCTTTTTTTAAGACTGGCTCAATTTTCACTCTTTAGAGTCAGATTCCACTCTAAAAAATTTAGAGAGAACGTCCTCTTATCATCTCTTAATTTTTAGACAATACATTTCCTTTTGCGAGAGGGGAGAAGAAAGAAAAGATTTTTTAAATGAGAAAAAATATATTTAAGAGAGGCGTTTCCGATTGAAAGAGATAATTGTAGGATCAGAGGAGAGAGAGACACGCATGTGGAAAAATTGCATGCATATGATGGAATAAATCTCTTATTCTCGTTAGAGAATATAGCAGCGAGCTGTCATGAGGCTCGAATGTAAAATATATCCATGTATTGCAGGAGACAGCAATGGCTGAAGAGATATCCGCATATGCCCCCGTCGTATATGTTTGTCTATACGTCTTTTCTTACTTTTGTAATTGTTAATATTGATCTGCATGTTCATCGTTGCTCGTGATACGCAAGATATCTCGAAAAAGAATATTACAAAATCTAGTTTGTACACACATTTGATTCGAATACAGATTAACTCAAATGTTTATTTTTTATGTCGTATAAAAATCTATTTAAAAATAAAACTTCATATACTTAGATATATAAAGATATATCAACAAGAGTAATTAACATATTTAAGAAAGTTTGCATAAATAGATCAAACGATCTTTAGAAATTCTGAAAATCGAGAGTTGAATTAAATTTAAGATTAATCCTCAAACATTTCTCTGAGACATCCTGCAGTATCACTAATTTTGAAGATGTCGCGATCATTTTGGCTGCAGTGTCTTAATACCTAACATGTATAACTAATATCTCTTTTTCATTCAGGACATCAAGTCGCACAATAACAGTAATTTTATTTTATTTTTACTTTGTGTCTCTACTGCTTTATAACTATTTTTTAATGATATGTTTCTTAATTAATGTGGAGCAATTTATTGCAATTGCAAGTTGACGCCCATTAAGAATTTTCATTATGCAAATACACGATTACTCACGCGAAGATTACACAATTATATGTACTGTAATTAACACACACATGACAATATCAGGTCCGAGAGTCCAGTGGGTTGGTGGGTGAGCCAGGCAGCAGCCATGTCCTCACCCACTCCCTCACCCACGGCCCAATCTCATCAGCCTAATTACTCCTGCATGGACGAGGCCAGCCACTTGCTTAATCGTGTCTTACCTCGGTACGTTACACCGATTACATGCAGAAATACCTCACTATATACGCTGTACAATATGAAATCACAGATTTCTGCTTTGCTTCAAAGAAAGAAAAAAGATATTAAAACGGCAACATAGTAACTACAGAATGCACGAGATGGAAATCTAATAGAAGATTACAAACGTTCGGATAATGAGAAATGAATTTGAAAAAATGAAGCATTAATCGAAATATCATGAAAAGACACAAATATTTAAAATCTCATGCGTTCTATGGTTAATCGATCGCAAAACATGCGCAGCATGACAAGAGAATTTTTATTTATTTGTTATGGAAGCTTTGTCGTGTTCGAAAGAATGAACTAACGTATTCTCTTGGCTTCTTAGCATTAATGTGCTTCTTACTACCCACCGTTATGACTAGCGAAGTGTCGAGCGATTAGGGATTCATTAAGAAAGAATAATTCTCATTTTAGTACCAATCTGAACAATAGCCGAGCGATGAGCATGTCGGCGCCAAGTGCTATCAACACGGACTTCTCGACAGTGAAATTCGATGATGAAACAACCGAATGGAACAACACAGGAACGTCGCAGGTCAAGAGCACGATGAGCCACAGGTTGCTGTTGATATCTCTAAAGCAGAATAAAAAACAATTTGTAAAAAATACTCGATCCTATTTAAGATTTCATGATGCTACAGAGATGACAAACTGTCGAGCAGGGAGCAGGACACGGTGAGAAGCGAGGACAGCGTCCTGGTGCAGAGCGTCGATTTGGGATCAGGCCAGGAGGCTTGGAGATCCTTGAGCTGCCTCACCGATAGCACCGAACAAAGTGCGCCGGTCAACTTTGATCTGTCGAACAGGGTAAGATGGATCTTCTCCCCTGGGTTAAATCTAATAAACGTTTATAACAAAACACAACATAAGGAGGATGTGAAGTTTTAGCTGTTGTATTGTTTATCAAGAGGAAACATCGGAAACGTCGAAGAAATGGTTACCATAAATCTAGGTACCATAAAAAATTGTTTAGTATGATATTCCAGGAATTAATCAACAAAACTGTATTGTTTGATATATAATTTGTGATCTTGAAACTTTTTTATTTTGACCGAAATAGCCTCCTTTACTTATTCTGCGTATATAGGCTAAACTGCCGAGGGGCATACACAAGATACGTCCGCACATCGAGCTGATAGACAACGTTCCTTTACTCGTATCCCTGTTCACCGACTGCAACACCACAGTGACCCGCGAGATGTTGCATATAATGCAGGATTATGGCGAGGTGGTGTGTGTGCTTGGCTCCTCTGCCAACGCCGAGAACATGCCCATTTTCATGCAGGCTGACGCAGGGTAATTATAATAATTATGATCTCACCGATTCAATCATCAATTACAATAGGGTTACCAGGAAATCTGGAAAACTTGGAAAAGTCAGGGAAATTGAAATTGGTTATGGAAACCGAGAAAAGTTAGGGAAAAATGTAAAAAGTTTGAAATTTCGAAATTTGCTCACAATTCCCTAAAACTGCTCCTGTTCCAAATAATTGTTATAATTTTCTAAATATTATATCTGACATTTATAGTCAAATACCTTCAAAACTTGTGCACTTTAAACGATTTTAATAAAACAATTAAAATTTATATCTTATTTAGTATTTGATAATATTCTTGAGACTTCCACGGGTGCTTTCTATATAAAGATTTTGCGTTTCGCGGGTTTTCTCCGTGTCCAGATCCATTCTTGGTATGCCAACGTTTCATGAACTTTGCAGTCCACTTCATAAGGACGAGGAGCAGCCTGATACTGAACTGTTCCTCCAGCTCCAGGCCGTTCCTTTTATATTATACTGCTTATTGGATTGGTGGTGGAAGGGGGAGAAGAGAATTGTGGGTAGGGGGATGAGGGAGAGAGGTGATGTAATTGGTCGGTCTTCAATAACCGGGAAAATGGTCTTCTATATTTTATTTATGTTGTAGCCATTATCTCTATTTAGATTGTTAGGGTGTTTTTGTATCTCTATGGCTTCTCTATACTTTCTTGGAAAGTATGATGTAACGTTGGCTATATTGTAGTCGTTTTGTCAAACAGTATTTGATGTCCTGTTTCGATGTTGTGTTCTGATAATGCCAGCTGTGTGGCGTGTTTTAGTCTGACATCACGTTGATGTTCTTTTATCCGTAGATTGACTATTCTCCCGGTTTCTCCAATGTATACTTGCCCGCAGGAACAAGGTATTTTGCAGGGTTGGTAAAGACTAATGTCTTTTTTTTTTAAGAATAAAACATATTGTGTTTCTTCTTGAATATGTTTTTAATGCTTCAAATATGCTTTAAACAGTACTATAAAAAAAACATATTTAAAACATATTAAAAACATCAATTAAGCATGTTTTAAACTGTTTAAAACACGTTTAAAACATGTTTTTTACCAACCCTGGTATTTTGTATACTCCTGCGGAGCTGAGTGAAAGTCTTTGATCTTTAGGATTTCTTAAGATCCGTCCTATCTTCTTGGATGATTTGAAGATAGTTCGAATATTGTGTTTGTTTAATATCCTGCTAATCCGATCTGTTATTCCTTTGACATATAGGGGAATGGATAGGATCCTTTTGTCTGATTGTGTGTCAGAGACCTTGTCTTGTTTGCATGTTTATTGATTATTTTGGTTATATCTTTTTTGTCATGTCCGTTTTTCTGTAAGGCTAGTTTTAGGTGGTTGAATTCTGTCTGTAGATATTCTTTGTCAGAGATGGTGAAAGCTCTATGTACAAGTGAGTTGATTACTGGCTGTTTTTGTGCTGGGTGGTGATGCGACTCGGTATGTAGGTATCTATCTGTGTGTGTTGGTTTTCTGTACACTTGATGGCCTTTGATGATGATCAAAGACCTCCACTCAGCTCCGCAGGAGTATAGAAAATACCTTGTTCATGCGAGCAAGTATACATTGGAGAAACCGGGAGAATGGTCAACCTACGGATAAAAGAACATCAACGTGATGTCAAGCTAAAACACGCCACGCAGTTGGCATTATCAGAACACAACATCGAAACAGGACATCAAATATTGTTTGACAAAACGACCACAATAGCCAACATTACATCACACTTTCCAAGAAAGTATACAGAAGCCATAAAGATACAAAAACACCATAACAATCTAAATAGAGATAATGGCTA